ACGAATGAATTTGATTACGTTTACGTATTGTTTACAGTTCTCGATCATATTGAATCGTTAACACCGCTTATTTCGATATTTTAATTACTCTCAACAAGAGACTTCGCATGACGACCATGATGCTCACGTGAATAAATTAAATATTGGTAGTAGTTTTTTTTAAATTTTCTTCATAAGTGTTAATAAATTCTACACAAACAATTGCTAGATTTTTCCGTTAATTAAAAAAAACTGCAGTATCAACTAGATCAAAAAAAGTTCCCATAAAGTGTTTTGGTAGATAGGTTGTTAACAGAAACAAAAAAAAAACAAAAAACACATCACAGTAGAACCAATACATTCTCCTCTCTTCGTTCAGAATCTAAGAAAAAGTACAATATTCGTGTTTTAAGTGTGAATTCCCCGTATAGGTATCCACACATTAAATTTTGAGCTCTCAATTCACACCGCTCTCTTTCTAAACACCCTTGATCCCTGGAACAGACCGTGCCATTTTCGGTTGAGTATAGTTGTTCAGTATTTAAGGCACTTGCTCAGCCAAAAAAAATACCTTTTATCATACGAAAACAAACGTGTTTTCGTAAAACGAACAAAAAGCGTTTAAATCGATAAAACACAAATTTTACAATTTGTAGATGATAACATTTTGAATACAATCTCGTCGATGTTTCTCGTATTGTTCAATTCGTTATCGAAAGTTCAAAGAAATGTATTTAACATTTTTTTTTTTTTTTTCACATTGACGGACACTACTGCGATAGCAGTAATATGAACAATTTCATACTGCTCAATACTGCTGTTGCAGTAATTTTTTCAATGGTATCAAATGATATAGAAGACATGATAGACTGCCACATTTGCGGCAGTTCACTCTATTAACATATTATATGGACTTTTGGATGTACGTATTATATTCACTATTGCTATAACAGTAACAATTTCATTGCAAGTGTCCATCAACGTGTTCAGAACTGTAATTTTTTAAACAATTACAATTTAAAAAAATAACGATGATGTCATCAAAAATACGTCATCTTCAATGTTGTATGGTTGGCCTCTTAGAGGCCAACTATACAATTGCATTTACCTTATTAACAAAACAAGGTATAAGGACATTATTTGTGTAACTACGTCGATTTTTTCGCGATGTTTCAATTTTCAAGCAAAGTACGAGTAGGCGAAATATCACAATTAAAAAATGATTGTATATCTCGCTAGTAAAATATTGTTAGAAACAGTGTTCTTACTTTTGAGTTTGATAATAGGTCACTTTAGTATCAAAATTAATAACACTAAATTGGTCAGGTTGAACTCAAAATTTGTTATGTATTGTAATTGTAACACGGTGACAGCACGTCATGCTGGACGTGGGGTAGGTATTCTTAAAATGTGATCAATCGATAGCATTTTTGTTTCGAATCTATTGAAATTTGAATCGACTGATTCATTTTTTTTTTTTTTTTTTCATAAAATATTTATACTCGTACTATGCAGTTGACGATATATTTTTCCGATTTCAATTTACCTAAATTTATCAAAATATGTCTAACCAAATTTCTCTCAAATTCGGTATTTGTTTTTTAATGGTTTATCGATTTTTTTATCGTTACATAAATATACGCACACACACACACGCGCGCATTTTTCTTTTATTCACAAACACGTGCTTTACGCACCGCAGTATTTATAATATAGACAGCGATTATTTATTAATGAAATATCAAATAATTATTATCGCCGTCGTACGTTTGACCTCTGAACGGCGAGACACGTCCGCCACAACTACGTTTTAAAATCGACTGTCTGACATTCGTATACCTATCTAGTTCAATTTGTGTACTACGCCGAAAACAAAACCACTAAAAATAATAATATAACAATCGGGCGATAATTTTTATTGCGCCTTTATCGTCGGCTATAATTTTTAGGAGGTTTTTCTTAAAGCCCGACGCGTAGATGCATTATTAATATCAACCGCGGATTAAAATTTCACCGGGTAAAAAACAGTTCTCGACGATATTATCGGTCGGAATAATACTGACTCCGACAGTCGACACGAAAAACCACACTAGGGAATTGTCAACGAAGTAGGGACGGGAATGGAAAAACCTACAATATTCTACTCTGGCCGAATATCGACAGTAAAATAAACGGAAAACAAACGGGTTTGGCGTGTGTTTCGCCGTAGGTTGGACGATTTAAAACGAACGAATAGAATGAGCTGCAGAACGCGCGTGGAGAGATAACGGTATTTGCGTGTAATTAAAGGGCTGAATCAACGGTAGAGGACGCAGAGGCCGTCTCGGGTAAACGTTGACTGACCGAAAGCGGTCCTCGAAAGGGTTGCGTAAATAACGAAGCCGGAAGCGAATGAAAATAGGGCAACGCGATGGGAGGTACCTGTAACAACGTCGTCATCTTTGTCGTTGAACCTATTTCTCTCCATCTCTCACTATAGCGATGGACCCGAAACTGGTACTTTGAACTAATTTATGGGCAAACAATTTGTGTAACGCAGATACCTACCACGTCGACCGATACGTCGCTCCCCCTTCAAATCCGCCCCATGTCTCAATATTATGGGCACGGACAATTTTTATCAACTTCTATTTTCTTTTTCTAACAATGGTGTCCCTCAGACCCAGCTCACTCTTTCACCGGTTCATTTTTTCTCTCGCTCTCTCTCTCTCTCTCTCTCTGCTATCAGTTAATTTCTTTAGGGGTAGGTTTTTTTTATTGTTTTTCTTGCAAATGACGTGGTGTATAAACGTGGCCGGAATAAAAAAAAAAAAAAAAAAATGCAGAAACAATACGTAAAAATAAAACATAAAACATAAACGTCCATTCACGTGCAAACGAAAGCGCCGTACAGACGAAAAAAAAAACTATCAAGTAACGCGTAAAACACGGTATTTTTTCCCGAAGACTTCACGATGCCGTAGTATACAAGAACGTTTTTACGTGTATATTTTTTTTCAATCGGGCCAAGTCGAATGTAAAAAAAAAAAAAAATTAACGCGCGTCGACGAACCCGATACCGGCTGGCGTGTCATTATTACATCGTTACAGGTTCGAAATCGGGCAGGTATAGGTGTAGAAATAACACATTATTACTAGTCCGAAATAAACGAAATACTGCACCGTTAATAGTATATTGTTGTTTTCTCAGTTTTTCTTTTTCTATCTCGGGATATTTCGACTCCACGTGCGGTAAAATATTTATTATTTTTAAAAACACTATGAGAGCAAAACAAAATTTGATCGCTTCGCTCGCAGTTTTAAATTTACACGCTTTCGATAGGTGCGCTATATCGAATTACAACGCTAAAATGATAAAGGGAAAAAAAATGTCGGGAAGACAGGATACACGGAGCTATTCATTTACTATGCCTGCACGCAGCGATAACACATTACTGCTAACACGGTTCCGAACGAAGAAAATTAAACGCACATGTCGCACGACAAATACACGCGAAATGCCGTGATTTTTACGATTTTCATACAAATTTTAAATTATTTAAAGCTTATAAAAAATTGTAAAAAAACTTTATTCTACTCGATTTTCAACTCTAAGCGGAGCGACGAATGTATTGGATTAACTGTGTTTTTTTTTTTGTTTTCTTTGTCTGTGTACAACTTTTCTACTAGAAATCTTGCTACAATCAAGACACGAAAAGAGAGTTTTTTGTCGCATTTCGGATCTTATTAGCGCATTGTAAAGGTTATTTTTCGATTTTTCTTAAGGTTTTCTTAATAACTGGGAAAAACTTAAAAAGTTTTAAGTCCACAGATATTTCATTTGGATTTTATTTTTTGTTGTAATAAGTACTTTCTTAGACGTGGTCAAATTTAAAAAAGTTATTCTCGCTATTTTTCGGGCTATTTTTAGGCATTTGAAATGATCAAGTTGTTTTAAATATTATTCGGTTTGATTTAGTTATTTATGAATTTATTTATTTTAATTTACGTTATTTATTTAACGTATGAAATATACATGCAAACCCTTAAGTACAAATTACTTAAAGTAGATAAAATAGTTTTTATCGAACAGAAATATTAATACGAGGTTTATTAATTGTTGCACTAAGTAATTTTTTTCGTTTTTTATAAGTTTTTTTACGTTGAAATTGCAGGCGTTGAGACCAGACTCTGGCATAGAGACCTGGCTAAGAGCCTAAAAAAATACAAGTATTCTGTTTAAAACAATTTATCAGATTCTTCGAAAGAAATTTATTTTTTTTTCGTATAGGCAATTCCTTTACAGGAGTGCTCGTATTTTACATTGTGCGGCCCGTATCGTTTTTATGGGAACGACCGGTTACGGTAGAATAGAATATCCAGATTCCGGATTACCAATACACTTTTATTATATTACATGGGTACGTTAGCTATTGAAATATCAATATATTAATTAAAAAGAAAAAAGAACTCTTGCACGAAGAAAAAAATATTCCAGAATTTTATGATAACGTTTTAAACAAATTTGCGAAACGATAAAAACTAATGGATTTTGTCTAAAAATAAATTTTGAATTGTAATTTTTATCAATGAAATACTATTTTTTTTTTAACAAACGAGTGTAGTGGAAATGCGAATTGTCAACGATTTCAACTCCACGCTCAGAATCGGTTTTCGATTGTACTATAATTATTTATCGTTATTTTCGATACACGCTCACTCAGAAATTGTAAACGAAATCACCCTGGACCATTCCGACTCCAAAAAACCCACAAACAGTGGTTCGGACGTACGTCCGATTGTTTTACATAAAATCTGCCAGAACGTAACCGGCAGAACGTTTCGAAAATGTCAATATACCAATATAAATTATAATTCGAAATATGTAACACCAATCAAATACTCGTTGAAGTAAAATTTTTATTTAAACTTTATTTTTGTAGAAAAAAAATATATATATAATACATTAATAATAGAAAAAAAAATATTGAGCAAAAAATATAATATTCATTATAATAAATTACGATTTGACAAATTATCATCGTTCGTTTGCATAATTATAATATTGTATAGCTTTAGTCGTAATATTATAATGAACGAGATTCGTCTAAAATACATTTAAATACACGTAAAATATCTAAAAAAAAAAAAAAAACACGAATGGATGGATTCCGTTTCTATTTGAGCAAAATAATTATACATAATATTTTTCCGATGTAAACAAATTTAAACAATATTTACGGCCGTTTATAATATTATAATAATATTGTTATACTCGTAACAGTTGTGTACACAGTAATAATATGCGAAATATTTAGTTACTTAAAATATTATTATAAAAAATACGCTAATATAATATAATCACAGACAATAATACATTAATATAATATGTAATTCATTTCTAATCGCGAAAACGTGCGAAGTTGAAAATATTATAAATTTTTAATTACAATAACGTAATGTTAGCGTGTAAGACGCTAACATTATACGTTGGAACCATAAAAAACTAAACATGTTCCGCGTACAATCATATCGTTACGGGCGGAGATTTGATACCGTCGAGACCGGCTTATCGGTAATAATGAACAATACAAATTATTTTACGGTTTTGGGGGAAGGGAGAGGGGCGAAAAGCCCTCCGTAGCTCAGCCACTGATCTCCGCCCGAGTGTTCAATATATTATGATGATTAATACGCATTAAATTATGTTTACAGGTGATATAATAATAATAATAATAATAATAATAATGATAATAATTGATTAAAGAAAGTGATTAAAGTGTGTGACGCGCGAGTGCGATAAATTCGTGACAAAAAAAAAAAAAAAAGTGTTTCCTTAAGATCTACATTATTATTTCGTTCAATCGAACAAAGTAAAAAGTGCGTACCGTTAGTGCATAAAAGTGCGTATAAAAGTGCAATACTATTATAGTGTGGTGCATAAAAGTGCAATAATATTATAGTGTGGTGCATAAAAGTGCGATAATATTATAGTGTGGTGCATAAAAGTGCGATAATTATATAGTGTATAGTGCATAAAAGTGCGTAAAAGTGCTAACAAAAAAAAAAAACGTACAACGAGTGCGGGTGAGGGTGCGCGTGATATATGTGCTTAAGACGTATAACGAGTGCGGGTGCGTAAAATATAAAATACTATAAAAAAAAAAAAAACCTAAAACTAAAAACATTGTAAATATCGTTTAGTGGCGACGTTAACGGCCGACGTTCAGGGCGTGGAGCCTTTCGGCCGCGTCCGAAGTCATCGCGTCGACGTCGGCGGCGGCGGCCGAGGCCGCGGGCACGGCGTTTTCCGCGTCCTCCCGCAGCTGCAGCCGCTCTTGAAGCTTCTCGTTGACGGCGTTCTGGTCGCGTTCCTTCCGGTGATCGCAGGGCGCCAACAGGTTTTCCAGGCTCTTCCAGTGCCGGTTCAGGTTCACCCTGGCCGACCGGCACCCGGAGCCCACCGCGGTCCGCAGACGGTTCACGTTGTTGTCCCGGTACGGTTTCAACACCTATAATTTACAAACGGTCATCATTATTATCATTGCTGTTAACACGGCAATAGTGACGTGGTGTGCAGCGGCGGCAAAGGGCACGTACCCTTTTCAAATGGCACAGTCTGTCGGCGTAGTAGTTCGAAGCGTAGTCGGCCTTCGGCTGCGCCGAACCCGACGGCGGCGGCACTTGTTGTTGGCGCGGACCGCGAAGCGCCCGACACATGATCGAGTCGTACGCGGACGGGTACTACAGGCGACGCGCGGACGAGCAGAGCGTGTCGATGGCGGTGCTGCCGTCGCCGCTGCGGGTTTCGTGGGTACTGTGCGCCGGACCCCGCCGAGGAGAGACTCGGAGTGACGACGACGGAGTATACAGAGAGTAGAGACTCGGAGTGACGACGACGGAGTATACAGAGAATGAAAAAAAAAAACCCGATAGTCTCGCGTCTGCTGCAGGTGGCTCGTTTCGCCACTCGGATCGTCGTCGTCGTCGTCGTCGTCGGGTCCCGGATCGGAATGCGGTCCCGGTCTCATCCGCGGCCGCCTTATATACACGCGTACCTGTGCCGCCGGGTCCCTCCGCCTCCGCCGCGTCGCCGCTTATCCAGCGGCCGGTGCTGCGGGTTTTTCGTGTACGCCCGTCCGTTGTGTATCGCCCGGTTCCCGTACGGTACGCGCCGAAAACGTACGGCGTGCGCGCGTGTGCGTGCATAGGGACCGCCCCGAAACGGAAGAACACGCGCGCTGTTCTCGGTCCGCCCGCGTAGCGATTTCGCCGGAACAAAGGGCACGGGGATCCGCGTAGCGATTTCGCCGGAACAAAGGGCACGGGGATCCGCGGCGTCCGTCCGGAAAATCGACGGGCGGAACGCGTGTACCGCCCCGGACCGCCGCCACTGTCCCGGAATCTGAAAACCGCACTGGCCCGGAACTAAATACCGGGCGGTCCCGGCACACCCGCCATCCCGGAGAGTGTGAACTCACTTCGGAATCTGCTTTCCGGGGCATTTGTGAAACGAGCTGATCTGCAATTCGTGACGTTTGACCGACCTTATTTTCGGGGGTAAAACCACCAGCTACTTTGCTGATTCGCGAACGGCAACCTGTATTAAAATAGGTCCATAAATACACGGCGTATTAGTCCAAATAAATTTTGGCGGGGAAATGTTCGGATTTCCGTCAATCCGTTGACGGTACATTCCGCTTTTAAGTTTCGGGTCGCACGACAGTGGTGGAGCACGGTTTGTGCGGCGGCGTTTTAAGAACGTGCCGCTGCTCCGCTCCGGCCCGAAACTCAAAAGCGGAACATCTCGTCAACGGATCGACGGAAATCGAAAATCTCAGCACTGCGATTTATTTGTGAACTAATTACTCCGTCTATTTGTGGACCCCCTCCTTAATATAGGTTGCCGTTTGAAAATCAAGGCGGTGGTTTTACCGCCGGAAAAGAGTGTATCAGAAAACAACACGGTTATAAAATCGCGGAGCGGCGTGTTTCTTTTAAACGTCCCGGAAAACGGATTCCGGTAAAAGCCAACGCTTTCCGGGGTCGATGACGGTGCGCCCGCCGAAACGGATCGGCCGGTACGCTACGACGCGATAACGCGTTCCCCGGTTTGTTTTCAACGATAAACCGCCGTGGGCATTATGATTGCGCGTACAATTTTCGATAACGCAGTATGACGTTGTCGTGTGTACGCGTAGAAACGTGCCACGAGCACGGCTCGCAAACGTGTGCCCTACGAAACGCCGCGACAATAGCAACGTGGCGCTTTTGCGCCGAAAACCGGCATAATCGAAATGCGCCGTAAAAAGTTCGGAAACAATATGCATTTAAACGTAATGAAAATCTGAAAATACGCACTATTAGGTATGCGAAAAAAAAAACCCGTTAAAAACCGTAGAACCCGTGGTGTCGTACAAGCACAAAAAAAAACATAAACCTCATAACAAACGCTGGAAACAATACTATACAAACACTAAGGTTTTGGATTTTGTAAACACGTTCGTGAATTTTATTGATTCCGAACGAAAGAATATTAATGATTTCCTCAGCGTATACGAAATATGCGCGCTAATAGGTGCGCCAAACGAAATCAAATTGTCTTTGTGAACGACTTTTCCGCCGGAAAACTTGCTCCAAAGTATTGACCGCACGGCACCTTTTCTAATAGGGAAATTTCTGTCATCAGTGGCGTTGGCGAGATACATTTTTGATTTTTCCTAGGGGTTTTCGGAATAATCGGGAAAATCTCGAAAGAAAAGCATACGTTAAAACGGCAAATATTTACCACGCCCCACTGCGTTACCGTCTCGGTTGTTTTTACCGTGTTAACACGATGTTTTCTACCAGAAATATTGCTCCGATCCAAAAATAACGATCGATCGATTTTGTTCCTTGTAAAATTTCGCCGCCAACGGAGCGAGTCGTTTTTCGATATCCAAAACGGTTTTCCTGATAATTAGGAATAACCGAAAAATCAAAATTGATTAATATTTACGGCAACGTGTAGCGTGCCCGTTTCATTATTTGAATATGTTTAACTTATGTTTTCCATCAGAAACATTACTCTAATCGAAAAATAACGGGAGATCGATTTTGTTCCTATTGACGCGTAGCCGCCACTGACAGAGTAAGTCGCTTTTTGATATCTAAAGTATTTTTTATAATCATTGGGAAAAACCAAAACAGACGAAATACACGATTCTTCCAAATTACGGTACAACGATTACATTATTTTTAATTTTTTACGGCTTATGTTTTCTACCGTAAATACGTCCGATTAACAACCATCAAGAGATCTTTGTTGTTGAATTTGTAGTTTTGTTGGTGATCGAGAAAGCCGTTTTTCGATTTTTTTTTTTTTCTGAAGTTTTCTTAACGATTAAGTAAAATTGAAAAAAAAAATGCAGAAAGTACAGGGAAATGTACGAAAATATATCTTTTATTATTATTGTTTTTTTTTTTTTAAATATAATTAATTTAATATATTTATAAAGGTTTAAAATGTATACAGAAAACGTATATTTGTTTTTTCTAGACGTGTTAAAATTTTCAAATTACTGTATTTATTTTCGAGCTAATTATAGACATTTTAATGTTCATAATTCTTATTCGGTAGGTACCTACTTTGTGGATAAAATTGTAGGACTAAATAGTAATGCTTGAAAATTTAACAGGGAGTTCCTGAAATGTCGTATATTGTGGTCAAAAAAACAACTTGAGCTTTATGTAGTATTTTTTTTTTTTTTTTATAATGGAACTATACTATCAGATTTTGATGAAAATCGTAAATATTACGGCCTTTCAAAACATCATGTATAACCAAACTTGGCTCCGGATCGTATTTCGTTATCAATGGATAAACCATTGGTTACAGGTATAAATTAAATAACTTTATGTATTCTACCTCCCTAACTTCCCACCTACAACAGTGACACGCCCATCAACGGTATCGGCTCTTTTTTTTTTTTTTTTTACTGTCGTAAGCCGTCGGTGCTTTTCATCACAGCAAGTTCGAAATCTCCGACGACAACGGTTCAAGCATAATTTGTTACTTCGAACTGGTAGGTCGACGGTGTTTAACACCGATTCTACGTTTTAAATTTTAGCCGATCGCTCGACTTGTCCTTCGGTTCTTTGAAAGTTTTGACTGTTGCATCATCGTTTTCAACCCGCCGAGTAAAAAAAATCACGAGTTCGCCCCCTCGATGTTCGCTTCCCTCCGAACCCTCTAAAATCATTATGTTACGCCACGCTCTTTTGGACGTTTCGGGACACGTCCGACCGTTTTCCACCGTCTTGCACTGATATCGCATCGCGTTTGTTTATTGACCCTAGTCCCCTAGTCCGTCACCTGTATTAATTTCACGATAATTTTCAATTTTTCTCATCAGTATCGTTTACCCCGCATAATATAGTATACGTATCGCGTTCGCATATTATGTCGCGGTATCGTTTCAATAACATCAGGCCGTCATAATTTTTTATACGGTAAATAATATTGGTTTTTTTTTTTTTTTTTTTTTTATTGTTCCGTGACAACGGGTTTCTCGTCTGAGGACAAAACAAATTGAATATAATGTAGTTACACGCGTTTTTCTACGCGCACGTGCGCGCGTAAACCCGACGACGCCGAGACGTGCACAGGGAAACTATATACACATATTATAATAATACGTTTCGTGATAATAAAATAATAACATATAGCGATAGTATAATAATATGCGTATATAGTATAATACTCGAACGACGAGTGACCCGTAATAATCTCTGAAACGATATTGCGCCCGCCCGGAGCTCGACGAGATCTCGTCCGGGCCTAGGGGTTAACGGTCTCCGATAAGATAACGACGAGGTTTATATAGTCGTACCAGTCTACACTCAGGCCGTAAAGAAAAAAAAAGATAATAATAATACCGATTTTAAAACGACGACGACGACGACGGATACGGCACCGTTCGGTCGAGATCATAACGCTCGAGGGGGGAAAAATAGACGTGGGGCAAAAGAAAAAAAAATCATCCGGCTGCCGTCGGTGGTGAAAACGAGATGAGACGTATAGAAGAGAAAAACGGGGCGGTTCGGTTCACCTATATAATAACAATGTCCGCCCCCCTCCCGAATGTATAGTATTATTATGTGTGATATATTTCGGTGAAAGTTACCGGTGATTTATTATAAAAAAGAAAAAAAAAAACCTCGTCTTCGAACGCCAAACGTTCACGTATTTTCACGGCGGCGCGGCGTTTTGTCCGGATAAAGATCGTATTTAGATGTGTTTGGTTTTTTTATTTTCATTATTTTGTATACGCGCGCAAACGGGCGATAATGGTTATCCGGGAAAAGTAATCAAATCGTACATCTCGATAAAAAAAAAAAACGAAAAGGCGATTAATAAAAACGTTATTAACGGGTTTCGGAGTGCGCGCGCGCGCGTGTAGGAAAACTACCGTACCCGCGGACGCGCCCATTAAGGGGGTCACGTCCTCCCTAGAAAATATTAAAACTCACGAATAATATTGTTTTTGTTCAGCCTCGGCGCACGACGCACAGCCCGGATGATCGGATGATAGAGATTCAATCTAAGGACGCCCGTTACAACTATGTACGTAACATTTCTTTGTGCGGGTCTTGTGTTCGTATATTATGTTCCGTCCAGCGGCGGCTCGAAGGAGGCACATTCGAATCGCGCGATTCCCTAAAAAACCGGGCGTGTGGGTCGCGGGTAGAACGGGCGTTCAAAAACGTAACAAAAATGATGATGTTTTTATACAAAACAAAAGTCGTTAAAACAATTTTAGACTGCGAACATTTGATAGACCTAGCATTTGACGAATTTTATTCAAATGTAAAAAAATGTCAGCACATTTGTGGCAGGGCGGGAGGGTATTTTTGGGCTGGGAGGGGCGTGAATGTCACATCGGCGAT